TGGGGGGGGGGGCGGGGGTGGAATGGCCCCTCGTGCAAGGAGAGATAGTAACTGATTCAGCCAAGGAGTTACTCTCATCTTGGAGCTTGAACAGCCAGGAGAAATTTGCCTCTCCCCGTGGGAGCCAGTCTGCCATCCACCGCTTGGCGGAAGCCGCGCTCCCCTCCTGTCAGGATCACCGCTGCCCTGCAGCCTCAGGACTGGCTAAAGAGAAGGGATGATCGGCCCTGCTGTGGTTGGGACATTAACCCCCGAGAAAACTCAGGATCAAGGCCAACAGTAAAATTAATGTTAAAACAGAGGGTTTGGGACTTCCCTGGTGGCACACTGGTTAAGAATCCGCCTGCCAATGCAGGCGACGCGGGTTCGAGCCCTGGCCTGGGAAGATCCCACGTGCTGCGGATCAATGAAACCTGTGCGCCACAACTACTGAGCCTACGCTCTAGAGCCCGCGAGCCACAAATACTGAGCCCGCGTGCCACAACTACTGAGCCCGCGTGCCACAACTGCTGAAGCCCGCATGCCTAGAGCCCGTGCTCCACAACAAAGAGAAGCCACCACATGAGAAGCCCGCGCACCGCAACGAAGACCCAATGCAGCCAAAAATAAATAAATAAATAAATTTATAAAAAACAAAAAACGAAAAACAGAGGGTTCCCCAAACATCCCAGATCGTGGTACAGAAACTGCTAGAAGGGACCTCCCTGGTGGCCCAGTGGGTACGACTCTGTGCTCCCAATGCAGGGGGCCCGGGTTCGATCCCTGGTCAGGGAACCAGATCCTGCGTGCATGCCTCAGCTAAAGAGCCCGCATGCTGCAACCAAGAGCCCTCATGCCTCAGCTAAAAGATCCTACCTGCCGCGACAAAGATCACGAGTGCCGAACTAAGACCTGCTGCAGCCTAAATAAATAAATAAATGTTTAAAAAAGCAAAAAGAAAGCCCTAGAAATCTACCCCTCACACAGGGAGAGGAGAAGCTGGACGCCTCTCAAGCCTGTTTATGTTCACCAGGGCCCACGCCCCTCCTTTGGGAACCTCATTAGGGGGACTTGAAAGGCAAAACCAAGGGGGACAGGACTGGAACAGCCTGGACAGCCTGGGCACTCACAGACCAGCGATGCTCGCCTGGGAGCAGGGCTATGGCAGCACTGATCCACCTGGAGCCTCCCTGAGGATCCCAGCAGAGAAATCCCCAAGAAGGGTTACACTCCCAGGACAAAGCAACAGGCTCTAAGTGAACCTAACACCTGGCAAGCAGGGAGTCTAGCAGGGCTTCCAGCGATGGGGCAGGGGACCATGGCAAGGCAGGTGCACACAAGACTGATCATGCAAGAGAAGCCTGCACTCCACATGGCCCGCTACAGGGAGGAGTACGGGCTCCCAGGCCTAAGAAGCCCAGGCATCACGGAAGTGTCGCAAGAAGAGGCGGGGTGCTGCCTGCCCAAGCCCTCACCTGAGGCTGGGCTCTCCTTTCCAGTGGGCATCACTGTGGGGTTTGCCACTAGCCTACCCAGCTGTGCTCTGCAGTGGGACAAGCGTGTGCCTGGTGGGGGAAATGGGCATCAAATGCTCACCCAGCTTCTGGCTCCTCGGCTGCAAGCAGTGGGGGCCAGGCTTGCTTCTGCCTGTGGGGGCTGCCACTGAGGTCCACCGGGCTCCTGCTGAGCCCAGGCCCAGACCCAGACCAAGTTGGGCAGCTGTGAGGATGCTCCTCGTGGGCCCCACCTGCAGCCATGGAAGCTGAGGGGGGACCCCCCAGGCCTGGGAGCTGGAGCCTCCTTGATGGGTGACAGGCTGAAGAACCCCCTGAGGACATTCCCACCAACCGCCCTTCCTTCCTTCACGGGGGTCTGACAGCCTCCTGGCCTCTCCAGCGCGTACCCCGATATATTTCTTGTAGTTTAATCCAGTTCTGACATCTGCTTTGGAGAAGCCGAACCAATACCCCAAACCATACCCCTGGCTTCACACAGACCAGTGCCCTCGGCCTGAGCCTCCCCTGCCCTGGGAATGACCTACGAGGAGACCCCAACCCCTTCCTGCTGCACCC